AGCTTCTAATTTGCTGGGTTCTGAGAAATCAGATAACCAACTTTTGGGGATCATATTTAAGTGTAAAGGGTTTCCAATGATTGTCTGAGGGGCTTTGAGCTTTAGTGCATATTTGTGTCCTGCAGGAACTGGCTGATCAGAAGCCTTCATTTGCTTGACTCTGTTTCTCAACCATGCCTTCAATAAATGATGTTTCATAATAAATTGCTCCTGAAGTAGTGGTGGGCTGCTATGTATTATTCTTCTCATGTTATTTTTAATTGAGTCATAATAAATATTTCTAATAACAGGGATATAGTGCAACTCTCAGTGCTTGAAATAAGACACAAGATAGCGGAACTGGAAGCCCAACTCAAAAATGAAGGTATATAAGTAAATATTTATATATGTAACTCCTGTATAATTATTGTTCATTTTACCAAGATGCCTATAGTGCATTAAATTACATATATTGAATAATAGTACCAAGATTTAAGTGTTGCTTTTTGGTGGCATTAATAATAACTTATTATAGAGGCTTTAAAACTAATATTTCAGAATCTCAAACCTATCACTATATAATTATTTTCCTACTTTACAAGTTCAAAATGTTCATCAATTAACAAAACCTTTCTTACATGACATCAGTATATTATTTCCTTAGTAAAAATAAAATATCACAAGTTTTTTGTTCAACTCAAGTAGTAGCATTCATATCTTAACTTCTGGGTTTGGGATATAACTTAAAAATCCTTATTAAAGGTGTTGGCTATTTGTATTGGAAGAATGTGTGCGTGTGTTGGGGGTTTGCATACACACACATCACCCACACACATATATCCTTACAATTTATAATGTATACAAGATATTAATTCATAGCACAAATATAAATGAGACCATGCCATGTGTCAACACTTTGCATGGAAGACCTTTCCTTTTCCTGTTCAAAAAAGGTTTACTGACTATTGGGAGAAACCGTCAGACTAAAATATGAATGTGNGGCTGAAGTAGCCTTATCTATATCTTAGATATAATGGCTCTGTGGGGGCAGACTCTGAGTATACTTACCAAGTAGTTACACTGGCAAGGATAGCTGGAATTTTCTCATCACCCAGTTACTGATAAAACAGAAGGCATGCTCACAGATACACATGCAACGTAATAACTATGCCCACTAGTAAGATGTAGCTCAACAAATCGTATTTTCAGCAGTTCTCATGGGGAAGAGCTAGTATGTGGGTACAAAGAGAAAAGGTCAGAATGGTAGGAGAGAAAGTTCTTTCCTCACTGGGCCAAAGCTAAGGCCTAAGGTGAAGGGCAGAAACATTTACCCCTTCATTAACAACTAAGGCCAGAAACTGTGTCAGGTGAGGTGGTTATTATTATCCCTGTTTATGGACGAATGAAGTTCAGGAATTTAAATAACTTCTATGGTCATATAGCCAGTTAGTGGTAGAGCCATGATTTGATCCTAGATCATCTATCTACCATTACTACTATTACTACTACAATTGCCGTCTACCACATCAGCACTCAAAACAGTCTGGTTATCTCCTGCTGTGAAGCAAACCACCCTACGTGAAGCAAACCACCCTATAATTAGAGGATTTAAACAAGTTATTTCTCATAATTCTGTGGATTGACTGGGTTCACCTGAATGGTTCTTGATTGGCATTTCTCATGTGGTTGCAGTCTGATGTTGTATGGGGCTTAGTCATTTGCAGATTCAACTGGGCTGGTCATTCCAAGATCACTCACTCACATGGCTGGCATCTGATACTAGGTGTTGGCCGGGAGCCCAGCTGGGACTGCCTATCAGAAGTGCCTCTTGGGGCCGGCCCATGGCTCACTCGGGAGAGTGCGGTGCTGATAACACCAAGGCCCCGGG